GCGGTGCCGCGAGCTCCAAGACTGGTTTCGCTGGGCGGTGGCAATCTGCGACAAGGATTCGCAGTTCCCTGCAGAATTCTTTCGCTGCACATATACGTCGCCAACTGGTCGCACTCATGAAGTGACGTGCGAACAGCTCCGACTCCTTACTGAGCCCTACTGTCGCAACAGCAGGCTCCTAGAGCACACGCGCCACAGAGCGTGGACCGAATGGGCCGCTATCGCAGACCTCCTGGCGGGTGGCGATCCAGTGACCGTGGAAACCTTCGAGCAGATGGCGTTGCAAGCGCCGGAAGTCGGCAGCTACACCGCGAAGCAACTTGGCAGAACTGCGCTGTCACACTCACGTTGCTCCATGCGACGGGCGCTCGTCGCTTGCAGTAGTCTTCCCTGTTCGCCCACTTTTATTACGAACACACACACACACACACTACAACGCGCCCCCCCCCCCGCGATAAGATTCCCGGTGCACCTCGTTCGTTCTCAATTACTCACTGCACGCATTGCATACATCATGCACACACACACATACACGCACAAAAACACACATACAGGCACGCGCAGCCACGCGCACACGTACAATCCATGCGTACGCACGCACACCCACGGACACTCGCACTCGCACACGCGCACCAGCGCGCGCTAGATTCCAACCCAAACTCAAGTAATAGGATAGCACAGTCTACGTCTATGAAGATTCGCATACCACTGAGGAACCTCAGCGAGACAGCTGTCGGCGCCGGCCTGCCGCTCACCGGATACCACGACTTGGCGCCGACCAGCGTGGGCGTCGGAACGCGACGTCTGCAAGCTGAGCGACGCTAAGAAGAAGCCCGCCGCAGTTCTGCCACTCAGCTGCGGCAGGAGAGCCTGCTCATAGACGTTGGCTCGGCCCGTTTTCGGCCTCGTTGTACACCGGTCGCAGGAACATGCCTGCTGCATATCTAAGGAACATCGACTGAACTTTCGAGATCCAGTCAACTTTTGGGGTCCTTTCCAGAACATCCAGGTCCGTTCAGGTATAGGGCGAACAGAGGGATCGCACAGCAGGCTATGAGTTATTGCAACTGAGGACTGAAATGGCCGTGAGAGTGGCACGGATGTGGCCGAAGAAAATCACTCACGGACAAGCAACGCTGCTGACTCCGCCTCCGCCATCGCCGAGACTGCTCCAGCTCAACCTCTGAAAGGCAGCCCAGATAGTCAAGTTCGCCGCTCGGCTTGCAAACGGCTTCAGCGCTGGCACAAACACAATAACACAGCTTGCGCCGCTGCTGAGGCAACTGCCGGCCGTGCTCGCAATGTCCGCCGAGTGAAGAAGCCTGCTCCATGGATGTGGCAAAGCCGATAGCATGAGCGGTCTCGCTGCTCAGGAGCCTTGCTAAGTCATGCGCGCTTAAAATTCACCGCCAAAACTAACTCTCCAAAACATCGGCTTCCTGTCTGTAATAAAGGACATCCTGCGCGCCGGCCATGCCCCTCGAGGAACTTTTGGCCAAGGCTCCTAAGTGTCTTGTTCACAGTCGCCCGTCGGCGAACGCCGCCGAGGTGCCTAGTACTTGACGGGCTCGTCAGAACAAAAGGGGCCCCCGTGCAATTTAGGGCTGCTTGCTCCTTCAAGCTACACAGGTTTATGGGTATTGGGAGGTCCGTGACTACTGTCAAAGCGGGCCAAAAAAAGAACTCTTCTTTCGTACGAGAGAGTTTGCCTTGTCAAGGGCAGCCGACAGAAAACCTCTGGGGCCGGCGCACGATCGAGAAAGGCTGTCTGCCCCAGCGCTTTCCGTTGTCTGCCGGACTGGTTCGCTGGTTGTTTCCTTGCTGTCTCGGATTTGCAGATGCCTGGTAGATTTCGCTCGACGGAAGCTGCTTACGGCAGATCTCGGCAATCAAATGTCCGGGCGGGGCGGGGCGGGGGGGGGGGGGGGTTGCATAATGCCTGGGGCCCGTTTCTGGACCCAATTAGAGTGGTGTCAGCGGTGTCAGCGTCCACATTGTCCCTTTGCACCTCCATGAAGAGTTGGCCTTTTTGAGCTGATGCCGCGAAAGAATGGACCAAGCAAAGGGAACATCTGGGTTTGTCGCTTTGTTTTTGTGGACCCCCCGAAAAAGTGTTTGTCCTTTTGGTTTCCATTCTAGGTCCCCCAGTAGTGCCCTTTTACCCTTTATTGGGGGAGGATTCCCCTACTAAAATAGACCACAGAAAAAGTTGATACCCTTATTCTAAACTCTCTACTGGAGGACCTAGCATTTAAGAAGACCTCCCCAAAAAAAGAAAACAACCGACCCATCTCTGCTCCAAACGTGTCGGATGCAGGTCGCCTCGGGCCGGAGTTGCTGCCTGGGCCCCATAGGATCCGGGATGGCTCAGTGCCTCATTTTTTTTTTTTGGGGGGGGGGGAGGTGTACTGGATCCATGGTTGCTTGTGTGGGTGGAGAGATAGATATGGGACGTGTACTCCACCCTCACTCCCTCTGCCCACCCGCCCTCAAAATTTGGGGGACCCTCAACAGGCTGTTTCGCAAAAACCTGCAAGGATCCTCATCTTCATCACCACCATCATCACCGCTACCACCATCATCATCAGCAGCAGCTGCAGCGCTTTCGATGTTTTCCGCTGAGCGGTTTGCCTCTGGGCGCCTGGCGCGACGGGGGAATCGCCTGGCAGTCTCTTCAGCTTGCGTTTGGCTCGATAGGCAAATGAGAATTGATGAAGCCATCATTTCTTAACAGGAAATCCCGAGGTTCATTCCCAAAACCCGGAAGGTCATTCCCTACTGAGCACTTTTGTACAAGTTTGGATTTCCTGCAAATTCCCAATTTTCGAGGCGCATCTCCTCCTGTGCCTTGCGTAGAGAGACCGCTTGACATTCCTTCCGCACATCTCACCTCCGGCCATCTTCTGCTTTCCCAGGCGAAAACACCCAGCGGGGGACCCGGGCTCACGCGACATGCTTTCGAGGCCGAGACTTCTGCAAAGAGCAGGTCGAGATTCATAGATTTGAGCTTATTTAAGTGTCATACAATTCAACATATACATCATATTAACCCCTCACTGGTGTTGGGTGGGTCCATTTGCATTCTCAAGAATCCAACGCCAGTCGGGGCATTTTTTTAGAGCGCCTTCATCCAAGCCCCGATTTGGCCACTTGGCTGAATAGGGGTTGCCGATTTGGATGGCTTCAAACCATTTGGCGGCGTCCCTCATGTTGACACACACACACACAGCTTTTGTTTCACGGTACTTCCTCCTTGTTTACCGCGACTTGATACACATACTGTGGCCGCGGATCAGTCGGCAGGTGGTTTATCCCATCCCAGTTTTCACGGGAATTCATTCATCCCAGAATCTGATTTTGTCCATCAACGGTATCTGGTATCAACGGTATCTGGTATCTACAGCGGACCTACAGCTTTGGGGTGAAGCCGACGACGCCTTCTACGGGTATTAGATCTAGTGGCGGACAGCTAGGCGCGAGCGGCTAACACACAACCCCCAGGACTATTTTGGGTGAGTCGGGTTCCGCTGAATTTTGAAGAGCTAGGGTTGCGAGAATGAATGTCTTTGGTACCATTTCCCAAGGTGCCATTTCGGGCTTCCCATGTTTTAGAGCCCCAGCCAGTCACCAGGATCTTCCAGCCTTCCCCTGCGCTGGGTGAGCCGGGCAAAGGGGGGGGGGGTGGGCTTTGGGTGTCCCTCAGGCCCTATGAGGGACATAGAGGACGACGAGGACGAGGACGAGGCGGTGGAAGGGGGTGGAGGGGAGGGGGCCCAATAGGAAGGATTGTAAGACTAGCAGCAAACATCTGTGATGGCAGATCAGCGCTTCCTGCTGGACTTCCGTTTTTTGTTTCTTCTCCCGCCCCGTTCCTGCGCGTTCATTGGTGAGGTGCTGGGTCTCGCTTTGCGGCCAAAATGCCCCAAACTGTGCAGTTCATGGGCCGGGTGATGGCTTCCCGCCTAACCTTCTGTCAGATTCTCGGATCAGATTCGAAGCTTGAGCTTTTCTGGTATGGAGAGGGAGCCAGGAGCACGATTCGCAGTCCCCCAATTCATGGCAAGTAGGAAACCACTGAGAGAAAAACTGTGGTTGGTTTGCTTGCATAGTTCTCTGAGTTTCCTAGTTTCCTTAAATGGCGGTATGGATAACGGGTTGGTAGCCGCTCTTGCTAAATGCTTTGAACTTCTAGCAACGAACATTGGTCATTTTATTCTCCACGGTCACAGGCATTCTTCTCGTTTTTAACTGTGCAAGGCCCTTTTCTACAAAAATGTCCACTTCCCTCAAAGTAGGGCAACACAGGGTGTATATATATATATCCTTAGATAGTTTCTACATAGTGGCTGCGACGGGGGTAGTGGATTCGCGGACAACTTGATTGATTCCCAATCCGCATGGCAAGTTTCGGCCCGAGCAGGGATTGATTCACCATGCACAGGATGGCCGCAAAGGATTAAAGGGCGGTGAACTTTTTGCCTTCCCAAGACATCGGGGGCCTTCAAAAGCCGGACGATTCATCAAGCACGGCCCCAAAGACACCCAAGGCCCCAATTAAATTCCCCAGCGAACCAAGCAAGGGAGAATATGATTCATTCAGCACCCGCGGCGCCAACCAACCAACAAAGCATGCCCCTAATCCAACGGACATCCACTGGGCATTTCTGGTTCAGCACCCACAAAGAGCGCACCGTGAACAGCTCTTGGGAAGGCTGCCGGAAGCCTTTTTTTTCGGGTTTTCATGGTGGTTGTCCCATACCTTCCAAGAAAAAGGGCACAAAAGCGTTCAAGAGCGAATTGGCCATGTTTGGGGCTTCCTGTAAGCCAAATGGAAGAAACCAAGTCTCTCAGGAGGTTTCTGACCATGGTGTCCAAATTTAGGTTAGTTTGATTGAAACTAGATGGGTTCCACTGGTTTAGATGGGTTGTATGCCCCATGTACCAGAAAAAAAAAGAAGAAGATGTGTGTTCGCAATTTAGGCCACCTACTTTTCTGACAGAGCCAAAGACCTCTAGATCTGTTCGCCGCGACACCTCTGGCCGATGGCGTCTTCCGAAGTGTCCAGCGGGGAGCCCTGGGGCCTAGGCCTGGGGTTGAGGGGCTCATCCTAAACCAATGGGGTGAGGGGTTGCCGGATTCATGTTTTTTGACACCGGTGTCATGTTCCGGAGTGCCAAGTAGCCCATCACTTTTGCTCCTTCCCCCAAAGGAAACCAAAGGAGATGGGATCCCTTTGTAGTTTTCCAGGGTTTCGAGAGTAAAGCGCCCTGGTTCCCATGTACCTAACCTCAGCTTTGGTAAGTTTGCGGTGCCCCCAGACCTCCAGAGGCGCTTTCTTTTCTTCTTTTTTGCTCTCTCGTGTTTTGTTTTGTCCTTTTTCGTTTTAGTCTCTCTCTCTCCCTCTCTCTCTTCCTCTCTACCTTGTTCCTCCTTGTCTTGCCGGGCTTGCCACACAGTCACACCCACAAAAAGCTCTCAGGGAGGGTCCTCCGGAAATTATTTACCACAAGAAGCTCAATTCCGGGTGGGTTGCCCTCGCAAACAATTGAGCGGCAAAAACAATAATGCGGCAGGTTTGAATTGAATCTTTGGACAAAATATTTGGGTTTCCTTTAGAAACATATTTCCTGTTTCTCCTTTCGCCACTGGTTGTCGAGGAAGAAAATTTGAGCAGGGACTGCAGAATGTACATGAACTCTTGATCCAGGCTCCCCATCCCTTGAAAGGAGAATTTCAAGCAGGAGGACCCCTTCCCATTACTAGTTGCTTCGTGATCGATGCTACGCGCTTTGGCTGACATATCCGTTTGCAGACAACACATATGGTTCATGTTTGTTCCCAGAGGTGATGGAGAGCCCAGGAGAGCAAAGCAGCAGAACACAGATGTCGAAATATTTGTCTGCAGGAAACTGCATCATCAACTGCAAAGTGTGATTCAATTCGCAGAAAAGCAGCCTGTGTACCTCCAATATGTGAACCAGCTGCGGGTTGCTCTCCCATGGGCAGAATCATATGGAAGCATTGTAGCCTGACCTGGCGTGGTGTGGCTCGGGGTTTTCGTTTGGCTCTCATAGGCAACTGCGCCAGGCCGCTTTGAAGTCTTGGTCGCCAGCTGTGCCGTACACATCCCCAAAGTGGTATGCAAGCAAAGCGGCCAAGGATTCCCTGAGATGATTTGTCAAGGCGTTTTTCCACACGAAAAAGACAAAGGCCATTGCATGATGCGGGCATGGGCCTTGGTCGATTCTGCCCGTGCCCTGCCGCTTGCCCTACATGCTGCGCTTTTCGAATTGTTGCTGGCAATTGAAACCATGCCTGCTGCGCTGCTTTGAAAACTGAGGGCCATTTTTTTCTTAAACACGCTTTTTGTTGTTTTTGACAGTTTGTTTTCCAGGGTGGATACTCCTAAATTAAAAATCGCGACGCTGGTGGATACTCTCCCCCAAACGGAGCCGCTGGTTCAGAATCGTTTGAGGCGACTGGGAGCTCGCTGCAGGGTTGGCGCTGCCGCAGCAGAAGGCCGGGGTTTTGCAGAACATACATGACAGCCTGGCTTCCCTCCGTTTAAGGCCAGGGACTGAAAACGCCGCGGCTTCAGCAGGGCTCCTCAAAAGAAATTCATTTTGTGCCCATTTGAAACATGTTGCTTTTTCAACACCAAAATTAAGGGGAACCACCATCTACAAGTTGCAATGTTCAGGTGTATAATGGATCCATCTGACGACCCAATACATCACACTCCTGGGTGAGTTAAAACCACCTCACAGGACCGAATTCACCCCAAATGGTGGTTTGGGTGGGGAATATCCCTCCAACCACCGAATTTCAGGCTGGTGAAATAGTATAGTTCACACAGATGACATAACATTAAATGACCCATCAATGACTAAATTTGACATTAAATGACGGACTGATACCTGACATCACTCATAAATGACAAACACATCCCCTTAGCTTGTCAGCCTTTTAGTGATTTAACCCAGGTTAGTCACTTTTTGCGGGGGCAGCCCAGAAAGAGAGCGCCAGGTGGCGCTGCCGCGGGCCAATGACTTCCGGCGCTTCGCGGAGCTGCAGCTGATGCTGCGGGCGGGGGGGGGGGGCGGGGGTGACATTAACTTGGAGAATTAGTTGTTCGCCAGCTGAAAGAGTATCAAGGGCCCGTGGCGCAATGGCAGCGCGCCCACATGCCATTTTGGCAACCGGGAGGTTATGGGCTCAAGTCCCATCGGAGCCTGTTGTTTATGTGTTGCCTGCTTCGTGTTTTTGTGATGCTAGGATGGCAAGCTTTCGGGGGGAGGTTTAGCCCTTTTCCCCCCAAAAGTTACAGCCCAACCACACGACGGCTTTTTGTCGAATTGGGGGGGTTGATTCGGAAGGCCAGCGTGACCTGCATGCTGGAGTTCACGAAGCGGGACTTCCAGGCCATCCGAGAGGTGGCCCCAGAGTTCCAAACGACCTGCGAGGACCGGTTTTTTTTGGGCGGGTTTGGGGGCGCGCCCCCTTGCCTGCTTGGTTTGGGATGAAAGGACTACGGCCGTTTTTTTTTGTTTTTGTTTTTTTTCTGCTGCCGTCGTGCTTTTGAGAGATCGCCACGGTTTTTTGTGGGGTGTCCAGCCGGAAACCCCGTGCCAAGCAAGTCGTTCTGAGAGGTCCTTTCTCTGGAATCGGCCATGACCTCTTCGGCGCGGGTCGGCCCCGTTCGCAGCAAACACAGTGCAATGCAACTCAGGTCCTCTGAATATGTGGGTATGGGTCAAAATCACTCCACCAAGGGACCGCTGGTTTCAGTTGTTTCCATCTTCCAGGGTTCCTTTTTGGGCTCATATTTTTGACCCACACCATCCCACACCCATGTAGTGTCTTAAAGGTTGACCAAATATGGAGCTTGACGGGAGAATCATAGTTTTGCTGTGTCAATGCCACTGTCACCATTGGCCCCAAGCCCACGCACACGATCACCCTCCCTGCGATCACCCACAAACCCGGACCAAAAAGCCGGAACTAGAAATTAAGAGGAACGCATCGTGTGCACAAGCATCATGTCTCCATGATGCAAAGTCTTATACACCTCATTTTTTTCCCTACGAGGGGGGTGGCAGGGCGGGCAGTTGTTGCAGGGTGCTTCATTGTTCCGGCCTTCTGGGCCCCCACCCCCCATCTCACCTTGGCTCCCAAGGGGACCAATGGGGGGCATTGGCGGGGCCTAGCCGCAAGACTCTTGGGTGCCAGGCACTTGGGTTCGGTTCCGCCAGGCGAGTAAGTTGGTTGGGTCATAACCCACAGCGTCACCCGTGGAGTTCACCCTGTTACTAGTGGGGTAGAACCTAGGTGGCAAACGACTAGGTACAAATCATAACGAGCAGCTCTTGGGATGAGCGCTTACCCATGAAGGTCCCTTTTACCAGAAGACAAAAACATATTTTTCTAGTCGGTGAGTATTGCAAACGATTCCGCTGCGTTGTATATCAAAAACGTTTTGAAGTTCGTTCTTTGACGCCTCCGGCTCAGACCGCCGTCATTACAGGCCTGCCTTCGTATGTGTCATACAAGTACAGTGCGTATGGTTTTCCCCCCTAGGTTTACTGATGACGGAGGTGCATTAAAGAAGACACAATACCATAATATTTGAAAGACCAATGCACAGACATAGACCTTCTGTCACGAGAGGTCACGCTTCATTCAGTGACGTCGCCATTCAACCATTTAAACAGATGCTGTATGACAGAGTTGAGGCAGAAGAAAAGACAGGCAAACACAATATTGACTGGCGTGATTATATATTTGAAACATTATGATAAATGGTGCATTCTGCCACTCGCTTTGTTCCAGCACGAGCAAAACCAAATGAACAATGATTTTGAGGTTAACATGAACATCACGCTTCAAAAAAGAACAAAGAACATCTCACTGGTTGAAAGAAGCATTCACCAAATTGGGTCAGACCCACTTTGAATTAGAAAACAGGGACAAAGCGTACCTTCGTCACGAATTGTTGAAAGTTTAGTTGTATGCGAAAATAGACTGAAAGGGACATTGTCTTATGATGATTGTGAAATTTGCGGGTGCAAAGTCAAAAGGCCGAATTGGTCTAGACATTTGAACACACAAAATAGTATTGACAAATCAAAGTGCGAATGATAAGGGTGGTTTAAGCCGGATTGGTGCACGGAGATTCAGGCTTGTCTAGCATCTTAGCATGGCGATGCATTGTTGCATTGCTCATACTAAGCTGGTGTGCGGTGGCTGATGCTTGTGTAAAAGGGAAGCCAGGCCTGCAATGTTGAGCCTTGGGGATGTTGAAAGGCCCAGCAGGTGTGCGAGCCCTTTGGCGGGAATGTTGCCTAAGGCCACAAGTTGGTGGCACAGCTCCGCACTAGAGCAGCTGATGCGCTGTTGGCCGGCAAGTTTGCCGATGGCTCCACGTTATCCTTGCCCGCTCGGGGAAAAGCAGGCATCACGTACAGTGTGCCTCCTTGAAGAATCCAGTTCGGATGGCCGGGCCCTCATTCCAGCCTGGAGCACGCCGCAAAGCCATAGTTGCCCAGGTCGAACAGCTCGTACTTTGCCATACCTCGCTGCAATCTCAGAGTGGCGCAAATTGGCAGCGCTTCTTTTTGCCCCTGTCAACGCGGCGCCGTGGCCATGTTAAGAACGAGATTGTCGAAACCGGAGGACGTCCCGTCAGCGACCCCCCAGAACCGACTTTGCTTTTGGCCAATTCGAATCTGAGTTGTCCTAAGCTGAAACTTTACAGCTTGAATTTAGCACCTCAAAACTCTGGAGTTTGTTTCTAATCTCACTTCAATGGGAGCCGGGCAAAGTCTTCGGCGCAGCTGGCCGTGAAACTTTTTCGACCCATTTTCCGCTCCAAGCCGTAAACCGCATGAGAAGGAAATCGCTGTTGGCTGCCTATCCTAGCTTTGTGCCTGTTGCTAGCCCGCGTCGCACTGAACTTAGTGCTTAGGATTGCTTGGGCGCTGACCGGCGTTTAAGGAAGTTGGTCTATCTGCGCTTGGGTTGCGTGCCACGGTAGGCCCATCCAATTTCGAATCAGTTTCCGTGACGTATACGTTACACCTATGTGCACATAATATACATGTGCATGTACATACATTAACAGTGCGTTTTTTAGTGCTAGCGTTTTGAGATTTGGCAACCCTTTGGTTGCCGGTTGCCAAAGGGTTGCTGGCCACTGGGTGTGGCTGGGGATTTCCCCTTTTCCTGTTTGGTCCACCCATCATTCTGCTCGCCAATGCTTCGGGCGAGCGACAACATGTTCGCAGAGGCAGTGCTAGTTGCGTAAAGGACATGTCTGCACACCCACGGTCAAAAGGATGTTGCCTCTCAATTCCAGCCTGCGTGGGGGAACGAGAATTCCGCGTGAGGAGCTCCAGTCTACGTCCAAGCCATTGCTGGACCTGAGCGCCTACGCGCATGGCACCTGCGCGGAGCGGGGGGATCAATCGAGTGCCGAAGCAGTGGCCTTTCCGGGGAAAGGATAGGGATGGCAGCGCGGGCCCTATACAATCGCATGCTCCCATTGGGGTAGAACATGTCAATAGGTCTTGGGCGTGCCCTCAGGGAGCTGCGACGTTGCAGGTGCAGAAGAGCTTGAGTTGAAAGGAGAGCACAACGGTCCTTTCTTGATCTACGACTTCAGTCTTGTCCTGGTTGGTGTGTAAAAGGCTCCCTCCAAATGTTGGTTCCTTCCTCGTTCCGCACTAGCGAAGTCTGAGGCACCCCTTGGCGGGATGGGAGCAATCCGGTGTCTTGTAATCATCCAATAAGCCGTCTCATGTCTCGCAAAGGGGTGCAGAATGGGGCCCCATTTCACTGAGGATTCATGCACGTCTAAAGGCCAGGAAAAGTCCAGGCGTCGCATGTCTCCCACCCATGTTTGATTTTATTCGGCCCCCCATTTTTTTTTGACTTGGCCGACCTTTGGGGCTTTTGGATTTTTCCCCAACAGCTGAAAGCAATGTGGTCTTTGCCCATAACTTGGGGGTAGTTTGGGGCAGCTTTCAGGGAGGCTTCCAGGGAGTTCCGGTGATGTTTTCCCTCATCCCTTGCAACTAGTAACAAGTGAACGCGGCCGAGCCTGGCCTTACGGACCAGGGAGATGCGGAAAGCAGCGGGCGTCAACTTTTGGCGGGCGTCAGTTCGCCCAGAAGGTTTGACAAAGAAAGGGAGGTTTCCTCAATACCTGGGCTTCAGCTGCACTTTTGAGCGATGTACCTCGAGCTTCATGGCCGTTGGATGCGAAAAACTTCAAGATCAACCCCCAGCATTTGCACGTCGGGTGGGAGGTTGGATGGTCTTCCGTTGAGAGCGCGGCTCCCAGGTATGGAGTCGCTGGTCCAGCGGATCAAGGCCAAGGAGAAGCTGCGGATCATTTTCATCGGCCATTTGGAGTCGAAACAACGGCACATCCGGCTCGGTGCGGATTTGTTTGGGGTGAAGAGGCTCCAGGTGGCAGTTTTGTTTTGTTGCGATTCAGGTTTTGGGAGGTTGGATGGAGGTTGCAGGTTCTGGGTGGAGAATCAGCTGGGGTAAGCCAAAATGTTGGTCACGACGGGAATAGGATGTTGGTAAGTCTGTCCCCTGTGATTCAATCTTAACTTGGATTCCCTCAAAAGTGGTTGACCTTTCTTGGGGAGTTCCCGAAATTTTCCAGACGGAAAAGTACAGAAATTTGGGCATGAATGGAGGCTTCTTCTTGTTGACTCCTTGTTTCCGATTTCTGAATGGTAAGTTAAACGAGGCCCGCTGAAAGCTGGGAAGAGCACGTTGATCAACATGCTCCTCACGGCTCATTTGCCGGAGCTGGAGATGTTGGTTCCGGTGGACAATAAGGCGGCCACCAACTGCATCTGGAAGGCCGGAGGAAGGATCAGAGTGGTCCAAATAAGAAGATTCTGGGGAAATTCAGAGGCGTCAAGCCCAAGAGGATTCCTGTGTAGGAATGTGGAGCATTCCACGTTCTTGGAAAGTATAGTAGTTTGTCTCTTCAGATTCCTACCATTTACAGGGCCCCTTGCAGTTTGGAGGTTTCTTTTAGGCTTGTGTCGGCCTGTGGTGGCTTTCCTTGTTGTAGTCGGGGATCCCTCCATTTGATGAGCAAAAAAGCACGAAACTTGGCAATGCCCGGAGATGGGTGCGGGTCAAAATTACACTACCAGGTTTTAGTCCATGTGTCCATTTACCTGGGTTCCCAAAATGGGTACATATTTTTGACCCACAGCCAGATCAGCCGTGGGCTAGAGTTCTGGAAGGGTGGTTGAAACCTCTGACGGGCCAGGAGGGCCAGGAGTAGGAGTAGGGACTTTTGCACTTTGAACATATCTGGGTCCCCCAGCTCAGTGCCCTTCTCTCCCCCTTTTTTGGTTGAGAAGATCTAGTTCCCCTACTAAAATAAAACAACAGAAAAAGTTGGTAGCCTTATTCTAACCTCTCTGGAGGACCTAGACAATGGGGATTCCCTTGAGATGGGCCCCCTGTGGCCTTCTTGAGGGTGCCCCTTCGTTTTAAGCCCAGATGAAGGGATCATTCGCTGTTGCAACCAGGGACCTCGGTAGAAACGACCTCTGTTTTTTTGAGTTGGTACCCCCCTTTGTTGGTGGTTTTAAATAAATGGACACCAAGAGGCAAACCACATATATATGTTTTTGTTCTTGCATTTTTTTTTGGGGGGGGGTCCCCTAAATTTTGCTTGTTTCCCCCCCGGTGCCAGCAACGTGTCGTGTTCGAACCACAGCTCCTTCGCTAGGTGGAGAGCACCTCGGGCAGCTGCGCGGAGGTGTTCCTCAATGTGCCCCGGCTGTCTATTGGATGCTGCGGTCGGCGGTCCCTTTTTGGTGTCCGCTCGGAAAATCGATTCTTGAACTTGTGCCATGAATCTTGTGTGGGTGGGTTGGTAGGGTTGATTGGTTGGTTGGTTGGTTGGTTGGTTGGTTGGTTGGTTGGTTGGTTGGTTGGTTGGTTGGTTGGTTGGTTGCTGGGGACACCTGGGCTTTGGTCCTTCATCCATTTTTGGGTGGGAGGAAAAAAATGGCTGCCCTTTAGCCTGTCAAAAAAAAGGTGCTGATCCATTTGGGGGACGGGTGGCCCTTTCAAGTCAGCCAACAGATACAGGGCGACAGGTGTCCTTTTAAATGTTACTTTGTTGGAAAATAGATGGCGCTGGTTTCCCTTTGGTTCTAACCATTTCACAGCGCCATCTAACTTTTCAAAGACTTGTTTTTCTTCTACAGGCAAACCCACTGAACAGTACCATCTATTTTTCCCAACACTTTTCTTTTAAAAAGAACAGCCCTATGCGCAGTATGCTTCCCCAAACATGTTTTTTTTTCTTAAGGAACACCTTTTCTAACCATTTCAACAGTGCCGTCTATTTTCCCAAAACCCATTTCAAAAAGAACAACTCTATGCGCAGGGTGCCTTTTTTCTTTGAACATGCCTCGGAGCCTTCCGGTCCGTTTCCTGAAGGAGCAGCTGCAGCGGCGATGGCCTCTGGAGGGCCTGGACCCACACGTGGTGCGCAGGGACCTGGCGGAGTACCTGGAGGACGGGCTCCAAGTCGTCCATTTGCGGAACACAAATTCCCTTGTCGGGTCTTAAAACAGGGGACTGGACTCGGAACATCTTTTCCCTCGTTGGTTTTAAGGGGGACTTTTGTCGCTACTGGACACATTTGTTTTCCAGGGGGCTTAAGCAAATGGAAGAAGTCCAAGCTCTTGCAGAATCTGGTTTTCCCTCTCAGGGTGTGTTGTTTTTTCAGGGGAGCCCCAAAATGGAGTGCTTTTTTCCTTTTGGTTTCCCTTCAAAACCCACAACAAAAGGGGGTAGCCTCGAAAAAGACACAGCAAGCTGGTGGTTTGGATTGGTAACTGGGGATTTGAACCTCTTGAGTGGTTTCATTTGGGGATGTGGGGTGCTTCTCCGATTCTGTTGAGTGGTTGGAATCAGATTCCACTTTTGGAGGGCCCCCAACTTTTCCATGAATGAACTGGTCGGTTGATTATGGGGTCAACATTGTCAATCAATCCAGGTTGTCCTATTGTTAATTTGGAGTCTATCCTGCGGTTGATCTTCTTCTTTGATCGTCTTCTTTGGGAATAACAAGGGCGAACACACGCAGAGACATTGAGCAGCTTTGGCGGGCCTTTGTGTGCTCAAGTTGCCTGATTGTGGAACATAGGGCTTTAGGCCCACTTTCTGTGATATCAACAAAATCCCCTTTAAAGTGGCAACCTCGTCTTGAACAGGGTCCCCTATGTGTTTAACTTGTTGGAATTGTAAACCTCACCCAAATGGGGCCAGATTCGCATGGTGAGTTTTTTTTGCTTATGGGGGGAGTGATCTTGAAAGGGGAAAGATACCGATGGACAAAATCCGTTCGCACCAGTTGGTCCGTATTTCCCAGTATCAGGGTTGTGGGATCAAGGGGTTTATTCCCCACTTCTGTGATACTTTTGGATCTCCCCCTTTTTCTGGGGGGTCAGTCTTTGCGAAGCCCTTTCTATTGTATCCCAGAAGTGGATTCCACTTCCCACAGCCCTGCCCAGTATATGTATGCACAGTCGGGGGCTGCGGGGGAGGGAGGGGAGGGGGAGGGAGCCTAAAAAAAACCTTATTCAGCCCTGATTAAGACCTTATTTGGGGCTTAACAAGGGGCTCCCTCCCCCTCCCTCCCTCCCCCCCCCAGCCCCCATAATATCCGCAGGGGGCCCTGTTCAGGAGCACTTCGCCCGAGACGCGAGGCCCTTCAACCGGGGGGAGATCTGCATCCTTCTGCCGCTGGAGTTGTCGCTCGCAGTAATTCACTTTCACCTTCTTGGTGGTAATTTTTTCATGCCGGGCCTGAAGGGGGGGCTGTCTTTCTTGGGGAAATGAATGGCTTGCAGCCACCCATCAGCAAGAGTGTTTGATCATTCTTAAAACATAAGAATCAAAGCCAATGCAGGGAGCAGACAACAAACAATGTTCCATCCACGTCATCGCTCTTTCCCTTTCGGGTTGCATCACTTTAGGTTGGATCCCTTCGGGTGCCACTACAGCCTGGTAGACACCCCGGGCTTCACCGAGAGCGCGGAGTATCAGACTC